ACGGAGAGGCTATTAAGCTACCATTTCTTTAACATGCGCTTTAGCATAAAAGATTTGGTAAAAAGTCCTGAACGGCATCCAAAGTGACTTGTCCTTGGTATGACGTTTGCGAGCGTGGTAAACGGAGAGGCATATTAAGCTACATAAAAAATTTTTGTAAAGTCCGAATGGTTTAATAACCAACGTTCATCGAAGTGAATCTATCTAACTTTTCTCTCTTTTTTCGCTTCCTTGTTTATTACAAATAAGTTCAATTTTCGGAAGGCGGTTTTTTTCGTTACGTACAACTCAAAAAAAAAACCCTCCCACCACGCAAGAAGACCTCAAATCCGCCAAAGGATTATTGGATTATAAAATCTATTCACATTAAAATTAAAATATTGACTTTTCACTCGACGCTGAAGGTAATACTTATAATTATTATCGATTGTATTTAATGAGATATTACTAAACTTATTTCTTAGATCAACGCATACGAGAAGAAAGTGTATGATATTCTATGGAAAGCAGGTTATGAAGTTGAATGCCGTGCTAGGTGAGTTTTCACTAAGTATCTTGTTGAATAGTCATAGTGTATCCGAAGGTACACTTCCACTAGGTGTAAATCGGGGTTTTTGAAAGCACATAGGGTGTAAATTAAATCAAAGCTTCGTTACTGAAAAGCTTATGGGGTGTGGTGAATAGGAAATACTTTATGGTTCTGATGTTTATATGATAGATGAATAGTTGTGAGTGTTCAATCTTCATTACCAAAGGCCGTCTGTAGACTTGAACTCGGGCTTGTGGTAAATAGGATACATTGATCATTGAATTAAAAGCACTTTGTGGCCACAGCTTGCGAAAGTCGCCAGTCAGTGAACGTTCTTCAATTGGTCTTGACTATGATGACACAATTGCTCATTATTTGCTTTATATAGTCCCCACGGAGTAACAGACAGAGGATTCGACATAGCATTTCACCATAATGGTGTATACTATGTCATCCAATGTAAACCCCACGTAAACAAGCTTGGTAATTATTTTATTTATTTTTATAAAGAATTGAACATTATACTTATACTAATACAATATTGTATTTCTAGGGGTGGGCTACATTCTACAAATAAAGGGGGTGCTTGCTGATTGCCCGCGAGATACTGTAGCTATTATAGTGGGCAATCAGTTCTCTTTGTGGGCACATTTATGGGCTAGAATGTCAAGATTCGACATCATCTTTACTATGGAAAGAGAAATAATTGAAGATATAGACCTCGATGACAACAACAACAACGGGGCAACACTTGTTAGGTGTTTTTGTGGCTGTGGGAGATTTTAAAAGTTTTACTTCTGTTCTATCTTTGCTTTAAATTCTATGATAAATAATTTTCTTCAGTTTATTGAACGAATACGAGATGCATCAATGCTAATTTCTGTCAATAATTTCTATATCACCTAGTAGGGATTTATTTGTGTAAATGTAGTCACCGAACATTTTGATTTTATAGGATCTTTATTGACAACTACAGATAAACTGCTAAACTGTTTTTAGACAGCTAATACATGAGAAAGCATATGCTATCTACACTACTGACTGAATCAATAAAGAAACTTGGCTAATGCCTGGTGTTTATGTGACAATGTAAATGGAAGGAGGAGGAGGAATGGATAATGTTATTTGATTGTTGATAATGCTAGATATTGTATTGAAAGAGGGCCAGAGTGGAGACACTGAACATTTTGATTTTATAGGATCTTTATTGACAACTACAGATAAACTGCTAAAGCTGTTTTTAGACAGCTAATACATATGCTATCTACATTACTAACTGAATCAATAAAGAAACTTGGCCTAATGCCTGGTATTTATGTGACAATGTGAATGGAAGGAGGAGGAGGAATGGATAATGTTATTTGATTGTTGATATTGTATTGAAAGAGGGCCAGAGTGGTGAGGAGAATAAAGAATGATGATTGAGTAAGATATGTTTAAAAGATATAAATATGTCAGGGAGAATGGGTGGAGAAGAGGAGCCAAAGGTGCATGTGGTATATGATGTCCATATTGTCCAAAGGTATGAGGAAAAAATGAGACGAGTGACATGTTTTAGGTTGATAGAATGTGAGGAGGTTAATATTGATGAAGGAGAAGAGGAAGGGAGAAGGAGATGACAAATATGGGATGTGAGAGAGAATAAGGATGTTGCAATTTGACAGTTAGCAAAGAGATGAGGAATAAAATTATTAGTGGTGGGACACCAAGGACAGTAAGAAGAGTAAGGGGAGATATTAGAAATGGAGATGCCTATGGGAAGTGAATGATGAGATATTTTCCATAATAGGTCTTGGATTTTTTTGGGGTAATGTTTATGGTGGATTTCTTGCCATGTTAGGGGAGGAAATATATGAGAAGGGTAATAAGGAATGTGAGGAGGTGAGGGAGTGTGGATGAGGATGGAACAAAGGGTAGGGAGTGGAGGAGAGGAGAGGATAGTGGATGGAGAAGTGAAATGGATATTGATGAAATTGATGAAGACATAGCCAATTTGATTTCAAGTCTCAACTGCCTAAAGCTTGCAGACCCTTCTGTGGATATGACTGCAGAAGAATATGTCGAGTTAGACAGTGATTTAATAAATGCAAATTTGCCTATACAGAAGAAGAGATTTTGGAAAAATTTCTGGTGGCTGAAGGTGTGCTACAGGAAATGCAAGTGCATATGGAAGAAGATTCAGGTGAGGAGGAAGAAGAAATTATTTCTACGAAAGTGGGAAGACAAGCACTTGAGACTGTTAAAAATTTTTAGAACAAAAGGAATTTAAACTGAAGAAGATATTAGATACGTTCGTGATATAATTTGACATTTAGATGAGTAGTAGAATGTCTAGATGCCAGACCTTATTAACAGAATATATTACCCAATAAAATTGCTTGTGTTACTCAATTAATGAATATATTCAGTTATAT